ATTAAATCCATTAAATAATATCTTTCATATCATTAAAAATGTGCAAAGAAAATTTATGAAGCTTTGGTTTAATAGTTTCATATATGCCATGAAATGTTGCAAATTTCATTCGTATGGGATATTTTACATGAAGGGCTAGATTACATTAAGCCCTATGATTACATTAGCATTAAAGTACCTCACCCTGACTTCAACGGATTTAAGCTTCTATTTACCAGCTGCTAATACAAACATTTTGAACGGTGCTCCATTTTTTCAAATGTTCTGTAATTATCATCACCTTGAAGACAGTCTGGATAGTTTTTGTTGTAAAGTACGAGATATTTGTATAGCTATTACTATATAAAGATAATGGGTCCTATGATTGAACGTTTACGTTATCCGTAACGTACATGTTAGGCCGAGTTTTAACAGTAATGAGGCAAGTTCGTATGATAGAAAACTTTTTCCAACACGTTACTGTTATTTTCCGCCTGTTATCTTCTAATTTAACAGTTTTCCATCATCCGAACTTGCCTCGTTACGTTTAAAATTCGGCCTAACATGTACGTTACGGATAACGTAAACGTTCAATCATAGGACCCAATGTGTATTTATTATGATGTGTTCTTGTAAAGTTAATTTTTTAATTCTTTCTAGTATATTGTATACCTAGACCTGAGTAATAAAAAGTCAATCTCCATTTTCATTGTGTTGAGAAATTGTTAAAATTGAGAAATTAATTTCAAATAGATTGATTCGGGTGAATTGAATGCATAAAAAAATAATGGTAGGAAAAGTGAGCCAAATATGGAATACTGTTTTGTTTTTATACATAATAAATTCAGAAAGTCTTCTTATCACCCCTTGTTTTTTTGTGTAGGTTTTTTTACACCTTTGAAAACCATAATCCATTATTCATTATATTAAATCTATTATACAGAAGTCACAAAAAAATATTCTATAGAAAATTGTATTTTCGTACTAACTGCAGAATATGTCCCTAATATGAAAAATTTATTTCAACGAAAAATAAGACAGGAACCTATGTTATGTTGAGAATGGGGTGTTAATACACTGCGACCTAAAAGATCTATTGTGCCCCCTTCTGTAGCCACTGCACTAAGGAAATGTCTCAATGCCTATAGCGACCCTTCCAATCCTATTTTCTCAACGACGTATAGGATTTGAAGTGGCTTCAAGTTAGGTAAATTCGCCTCTTTTATTTGATATCCTCCTAGATATAGTGACCTTGGATTCTGGATTGCTACACATTCAGTTAGGATGTGAATGGAGGTTTCGTCCTCCTCCTCACAGAATCTGCACTCACTATCCTCTACTACTCTCAGTTTACTTAGGTGTCCTTTTAGTCGGCAATGCCCGGTAAGGATCCCTGTTACAATACGTAGCCTGTTCTTGCTCAGGCAGATGCAGGCTTCCGATCTTCTCTGGTTATATTCACCGAGAAGTATCTTGGCCTGCCTCAGCCCCAAGAGATTGTTCCAATTATCGTTTCTTCTACTGCCCAATTATTTTTTAATCTCTCCTAATATTATGTTACTGCTGATACCGCAGAACGGCTCAGGTCCTACAAAGGGTGTTTAAGCCCCTTTCCTTGCAAGATTATCTGCAAACTCGTTACCCTGTACCGCGTTATGTCCCGGGACCCAAGTGAGAGTAACTCTACTTTTCTCGCCTAGCTCATTCAATAGTTCTAGGCATCTCCAGACCATTTTTGAGCTGATTACGTAAGAGCTCAGCGCTTTGATGGCTGCTTGACTATCGGACATGATGATAATCTCTTGTCTTTGATAGTTTCTCTCGATGTTAAACTGGATACACTTCTCGATGCTTGGGTATTTTCCCAAGCTTTCGGGGTGCTTGTTTCTCGGCCCATACAATCCTATTCCAGTTCCTTCTATGATATTGGAACCGTCCGTATACCACTGAATAGCACGTCTTTCGGTTGCAAGTGCGATGGATTCTTGGCTCCATTCTTTCTTGCAGCCCAGCTCTGTGGTTTTGAAGTTTTTCACAAAACTGTACTTCTTTTTGCATTTTATCCTGGGGCATGTCCCAGGTATCTTTAGTCCTGAAGCAAGTAGACTTTCGTCTGATTACTCCGTTCCTGATCATTCTATATCGTGTCCTTTTTGCCACATTCTCTATCATCAAATGTAGAGGGGTGAGGTTTAAGATCACCTCCATTGCGGCCGTAGGACAGGTTCTCATTGCATCAGTAATGCAAACACAGGCTAGTCTTTGTACTTTTGAGATATTAGCTCTCGTAATAGCTAGACTAGTTCTGTTACTCCAGGCTATAGCCCCGTAAGTGATGATTGGTCTCACTATTGCAGTATACATCCATCGCAGGAACCTAACAAAACAATTTTTCCTACGACCACTTAGGAAAGTGACACATATCACACTATATAGACCTATGGAAAGTGCCCTATATCACACGCGTATGAATAAGAATTTACTTTCCACCCAAGTGAGAATATGCTACTTTCCGCAGTAGCTGTCAGAAAATGTCAAACACATAATTTCTATTTTGATCTATGTAATGTCCATATTAATACTAAAATCGATATGATTGTTAAATTATTGTAAATTAGATCCTAGATATTTATCTTTAACAATTATTTTTAAAATAATTTTAAAATAACTAAGATATATTTGCTTTTTATTCTGGTTAAACACATAAGCGATTAGATCAATCAATTACCGTAAGGCCTGTTAGCTCAGTTGGTTAGAGCATCAACTTTGCAATTTGAGACCGTCCAACGACCGCGATCGAATCCTGGCTGTGCCAGAATTTTTTTTTTATTTTTTTTTTTATTTTTTTTTATTTGTTTAGAAATTATGAAAATTTAATAAATACGATTATTGTTGATTATTTTTTTAAATACATTTTAATTATTATAATAATCTGGTTTTACATTTTTTGATGAAATTATTTTGTGGTCGTAGGAAAAATATTGTACATCACTTGTGTGAAAAGTGATTTTCCACACTCGTGTGATAGTCGCACTCGGCTTACGCCTCGTGCGACAATATTTCCCACTCGTGTGAAAAATGTCACTTTCCACACTCGTAATGTAATATACTATATTATTTTATGCTACAGGTTGAAACAAATCAGTCAACAAAATAATTGCATCGGATATATCAGGAAAGCGTATTTGTACAACAATGTTTTCTGTCCCTAACAGTCGACATGGCACCAACCTAAACATTCCTTGTAGTGTATCCACTGTTAACCCCTGACGTATTTCCATTGCAATAGCCATCCTTTACTTGTGATTTCCCAATTGCAGGCACGACACCATTTGCTAAACAGGAATAAGCAGCTCAAATACAAGTTCTGTATAAAAAGTTGGTAGTTTATACTCCGCTTTTGTTCTAATATTATTAATAGGTAACTGCAAAATACACGATTTTTCGAGAAAATTATAAAAACTTGCATTTAACGTTCACTGGTCTATTGGGAGACAAATGAACTATGTTTGGATGTTATTTGCGCGTTTTTGCTAAATTTAGCTAAATTAATTTAATGGTAATCCATTTTAGGAACATATTCCATATTTAGCTATTTTGCTCTAGTATTACAGGGATGTTATTTTTACTGATTTTTTAGTATTTCAGGCATTAGATGGAATTGACGTTTTTAATAAATTGATTTATTGAAGATAGTACTGCTTGTTTTCACACACTTTTTAGGTCAAATACGAATTAATTTCAAAATTATTTTTTATCTATTTCAGTTGTTCTGCTGTTGAATCGAGGGAAATATTTACAGATTTTAGAGCCTAAATAAGAAGGTCAGGTTTAGGTCACATTTAGTAGATTTATAGTTCGCTGCGTAGTTTGGCCGTTTTAGCTTTAAGCTAATTTTAAGATAAGTCCTACTTTAGGATTGACAAAATCATTACCATTAACTCTAGGCGTTTAGCTTTTTTTTTCCAAAGCACCAAAAATCAAGATTGGCCCTTTAAATACTCAGGTCCAGATATAGCGGTAGTATGTAAGTTTTATGTGCTATTTTAAAATGTTTTATGCTCTTATATACAGGCGTCAAATGAAACAAACCTTTTTTTTTTCCTAAAAATATGTATATGTAGGTATCTTATGATTTAAATGTATTTGTTCTATGTTCATCCCTCTCTACAGGTACTTGGTTTTTAACTGTTGAATGGTGTATTAAATAAATAAATAAATAATAAATATATTTCATGCGAATTTCATAGCATTGATGTTTATTTCGTTTTCTTTTTTTTTATAAATTGCTTACTTACATATTTCATCTAGGTTCAATCAATTTAAAACACTAATAATTACATTGATAAAGAATTTTATTATAAAATATATCTTGCATTATTATTACTGTTGTAAAAAACTATTTTTATTTGTTATTACTTGTCTTTTATTTGATTCATAAAAAAGATTTCAGTTTTTATATGATCCGCATGACCTAAACGAAAATTATGTGTGACCATCGATCCATTTGAAAGCATACAGTTTCAAAACCTATATCTACAATAGATAAAACTATTGCAATTATATAAAAAAGTTTTCAATCCTAAAACAAATCAGTTACTTTCAGTAAAAAATGTATGCAACACAAAGTATACCAAAAGCCTAAAATAAATAAAAAAGACTAAATATTGTTAAATAAATTTGTTTCTCTTAATCATGTGAATAAATTATCTAAATTATTAGTTATTGTGCGATGTAGTGCATAAATGGTACACATAAATAGGAACCCTTCCAAATGGTATGCTATTGAAAAGAGGGACCTACACCTCTCCCCTCACATCTACAGTAATGTTAACAACATACATTGAATGAAATCTCTAATCTTTCATGCTCTAAGGCTTAAGTAGTTAAAACATAACCAGTTTACAGAACATTGGATTGGAGTATCCAATACGCTTGAAAATCCAGAGTAAAGGCATAAGTGACAAAATACAAACGTTTTAATAAACTTACCACAATATATTGTGATTACCTTTACCTACCTGACTTTAGGTAAATCAGTTCTGGAATCCAAACTAATGGTAGAAAGTGTGAGTACAGTAGTGATTCCCAAACCAACTCTGTCACTGGTTGCTTCTCTGTGAATCCAGAATGATACCCACGACAATACAACTATTAAAATGCAAGGTACATATACCTGGATAAGAAAATAACCAGTATGTCTCTGCAAGTTGAAAGAAACTTGTAAAACAGAAAATTCACCTAAAACAAAACAATATTATTAAACAATTTGAAACATTTAAACTAAAGTATGGTTTTTATTTAATTACAATTTTTTTCTATTTGTACCAAAGCATTTTTTTAACAAAGTTTCAAAAAGTTTATTCGAAGCTATTAAATTGCTTATTTGCAACATACCTACTAATAATGTTACTCGGATTTTTTCATAAAGATCGCTATACATGTATGTATCGCTATGGAAACCATTGCTTTCTCAAAGAAGGTAAAATATTTAGTAATTATCCAAGAATAAAAACTCACCTAATACTCCCAATACAGACTACTCTGTACAGAGGAGTAGATAGCATCACATCCAAATGGATAGCTCAGCTGTTATCTACGAGAACTGCAGTGATACAGATAGGATAAGACACCATCTCCATCTGCACAACCAGAGGATGTTCACAAGGAGGAGTTCTATCCCCACTAATGTGGAGCCTTATTGTAGAGGCAGAATGACTGACCTCAGCATACTCTGTCAAGGTTATGACCCAACATCGTCGTATTTGCTATAGTCGAGTTTGAAAATATCCTGTATGATGCAGTCCAAAGAAGACTAGAATACACCAAAAGATAGTACCAAGAGATGCGAATTAGTATAAACCCCACCAAAATAACACTAATAGCCTCTTTAAGAAAAAAAAAAACAATGGAAAAATCGTTAAATTAGACGAACTAGATATAGAATGGAAAAAAGTTGAATATCTAGGCCTAATCCTGGACAACAAACTTCTTTCGAAAATACATGAGAAGGAAGTAGTAAATAAATCCACAAAAGCTCTAATGGTATACAGAAACATCGCCAGTAAAAGATGGGGATGTATCCCGAATACACTGCGCTAGATATATACAACAATAGTGAGATCAATCATCACTTATGGGGCTGTAGTCTGGAGTAACAGAACTAGTTTAGCTACTACGAGGGCTAATATCTCAAAAGTATAAATACTAGCCTATGTTTGCATCACCGGCCGCAATGGAGGTAATTTTAAACCTTGCCACTCTACATTTAATGATAGAGAACGTCGCAAAAAGGACAAGATATAGAATGATAAGGAATGGAGTAATCAGACGAAGGTCTATTAGCTTCAGGACCGAAGATACTTTGGATATGCCCCAGGACATAAAGATAAATACGTACAGTTTTGTGAAAAACTTCAAAATTACTGAGCTGGGCTGCAAGAAAGAATGGAGCCAAGAATCCATCGTGCTTGCAACCGAAAGACATGCCATTTAGTTGTTTACGGATGGATTCAAAACCATAGTAGGAACTGGAATAGGAGTGTGTGGGCCCAGAAACAGGCACCCTGAAGGTTTGAGAAAATTCTCAAACAACTTTTAGGCGAAAATTCACGCCATTTAGAAGTGTATCCAGTTTAACATCGAGAGGAACTATTGCAGATAGATGATAATCATCATGTCCGATAGCCAAACAGCCATCAAAGCGCTGAGCTCTTACGTAATCAGCTCAAAAATGGTCTAGAACAATTGAATGAGCTAGGTGAAAAAAGCTTTCACTTGGATCTCGGGATATAACAGGGTAAGGTTAACGAGATTGCAGATAGCCTCGCAAGGAAAGGGGCTCAAACACCCTTTGTGGGACCTGAGTAGTTCTGCGGTATCAGCAGAACAGTTGCATATAATGTGCTCTACAGATTTGTCTTCCAAGCTGTAGAATTAACAGTTCCACGTTTGTTGTAGAACATTAAAAGATATTAAAAAATAAAATACTTCTGGGTGAATATAACCAGAAAAGATCGGAAGCTTGTATCAACCTGAGAAATAACATGTTACACATTGTAAGACGGATTCTCACCGGACATTGCCGACTCAATGGACACATGAGAATAATAGAAGATAGCGATTGCAGATTCCAAGAGGAGGAGAAGAAGGAGGAGGATAATATAACATCAATTTACATTCTGACTGAATGTGTAGCATTTCAGAATCCAAGGGCACTATACTGAGGAGCCTACCAAATAGAAGAGATCAATATATCTAACTTAAAGCTACTCCAAATCCTACACTTCCTTAAAAAGATTGGAAGGGCCGCTATAGGCATCTAGATTATTTCCTCGATGCACTAGCGACATAAGAGGGTACAATAGATATTTTAGGTCGCAGTGCATTAATGCCCCATACCCAACATAACACAAAATAACGGCCTCTGTGTCCTCAGAAGAATATTTGCCAGAGCATAGCAGCTCCAAATTGATCTACAGGATTTACCAAACCATAATTAAATCAATAATCACGTACGGCTCAATTGTATGGTGGGACAAAATACTTCAATACAATACAAAATACAAAGTTGTCAGATTGCGTACATCGCCATCATTAGGGCAATGTTTACTACACGCTCAAGAGCTACGGAGACTAATCCAACATACTTGTGCTGGAGATATATCCAGGGCCAACTCATTTGAAAGCATTTATACCCAACCCTTCTATGAACAGCTCTGTGCTGATTCGGGAATGAAGTACGAATGATGTATGAAGACTGAATGATGACATGATATTATCATCTAGGTAACCGCATAAAAAGGATAAGCCTACAACAAACGTGGAACTGATAATTATGCAGCGTGGAAGATAAATCTGTAAAGCACATTCTATGTGCCTCCTACGCCTTGGCAAGAAATATATTCTAGATCTTTGGCGACTTCAAAAAAAGTTTCTCTCATCTAACTTAACTATTGTATTAACCAAAAAATGTGCTTTGTATTGTAAATTATACTTTAAAAGTGAGCCCTAATAGACTCAATGGGGTCACAGTGGAAAGTGATCATTCCACTTATTTTTATCCTGAGGTATGTAAATTTTGCGTAAATATGGTTAAATTTCACAAATGTAAAAGAAATTCCACACGCCCATGGTTTCTAATTCCTAGAAAATAATTCGTTGGTATCGATCGATATTTCAACGGTGGTATGATCTCTTTTTAAGGTGTTCGAGACATTCAGTTGTATTACAGTAGTTATTTGGCAAATTAGATGTGTTAATAAAATTTCCATTTGGGATTTAAAAATCGGTTGTTTTATTGTTTTAAGGGAAATTATTGAATTGTTTCTTACAAATTGTCAATAGTGGGATATAAACTTGAAAATTAATAGTGAAAAACCGTTAGAAATTAGTGCCGGTTTAAGTGAATATGGCCAATAGGGGTAGAAAACCATCACGGAAAGAAAACTCACGTAACGAAAGTAGTTTGAAGACGGCTTTTAAACGATTGAAAGAAGATTTACGTAACAAACTCTCGACGTCTGGTTGTTCTGGGAATGAATTTTTAATTCCTTTATTTGTCCCAATAAAAGATGACATAGTAGTAGAAAATGAATACAACGAGTAGAAAAGCTTACAGAACGATATAAATGGGATGACGATTCTATTATGTGTCTAATAGCCAGGCGATTTCGTGGAATTTCAGTACAGTGGTATGACGAAAAATATGATGTTTCTTGGATCGAAATAAAACATAATATGATCGAGCAATTTAGTAAGTCCATTCCTTTTTCTAAATTTCTTAGGGACGCTGTAAATTATGAGACCAACCAGGGTCAAAATTTAGACGATTACTGTTTTCAAAAAAATCTCTAAATTAAGAGCTCTTGAGTTACATGTTTCTGACGAATGTCTTATAGATGCAGTCATTGATGGTATAACGGATGAAAATATCTCACGTACAGTAACGTCTGCACGTCATGCAGATTTAAATATTATGTTATATGCTTATTTAAATATGATTGGCAATGTACCAGATAAAAGTAAACTTGACAATAAATCGATTACACCCATTTCTAATATTTACAAAAACAGTAATCATGTAAAGTCGAATTTTTTATAACGTAAATTTGATAACGGTCGTACTAAAAATCAAAAATACGATTCAATTTGTTTTAATTGTGGCATGAAAGGACAGTTTTCACGTGATTGTAGAAAACCTCGTCTTGAGTGTCGCAAGTGTAACAAACTCGGACACTTACAAGACAAGTGCGAAAGTAAACAATTAAAAAGAGACGTTAATATAATTAGTAATGAACGTAATATTTTGAATATTTACCTTAAAAACGCTTTTATAAACGGTCATAATAGACAATGTTTAGTTGATACAGGGTGTTCCACGACATTAATTAAAATATGTTTTGCAAAACTAGTTGGAAATATCACAGAACTAAAACAGATTGTTAAGCTTAAAAGTTTTATGTGTTCCACGATTGTATGTGATAAAAAAGTTAATCTCTCGTTAAGAATTATGGGAGCTGAAGCTATTGTGGAAGCTGTGGTAGTAACAGATGAATATTTATTTTATGATCTTATAGTAGGTGGGGATTATTTAGATCAATGATGGTCAAACAATTTAATTTTGTCATTCTTAGAATATTGCCAAATATGAATAAATATTTTATTGATATAAACGTCGTAGACCGTTGCAACCAAAGTGCTATTGATATCAATGACGTTAACATAGGGAATGTGAGTAGTAAATATCAGTCTTTATGCTTGAAAATAATTGATGAATTTTCAGATCATTAAAAGCTTTAGGTAAAATAGAAACTATATGTATGGAAATAAAGTATACTTTAGAAGAGCCAGTAGTTTACCATCCTTATTGAATGCCGCATACGAATAGAATTATTTTGTTAAACATAATAACGGACCTTATAGAAAACAATATTATTAGAGAATCTCAGTTACCATATGCTAGCCCAGTTATTTTAATTAAGATAAAACAGACGATTATAGAATGTGCGTAGAGTTTAGAAAACGTAGTTACTATCAAAATGAGATATCCACTTTCTTTAATTGATGATCAAATAGATCGTTTAGGAGGTAACAAGTATTTTATTACCCTTGATTTTGCCTCTGAATATTATCAGATACCCATGGCGGAAAATTCAATTAAAGATGGCTCGAATCCGTATGATTCGTACAAATTATACGGATCAACGTGCTGTTACAGATCATAAGAATTGTCGGATTTGAAAAGCATCATTCATATGATTCAAAAGTTCTTGATAGGATCTCTTAATATTTTGTTCAATGCTCAATCTTGACTAGTAGAATCAGGTAAACACAAAAGTGTTGGTTGCTATATTTTACTTTAACATGGTGGTAAAAAAAAAAGATACGAACACTGGTCGGATATTTCAAATCGAATCAGTTTTATAGAACGAAATACTAAACACTGGACGTAAACATATTTTGAATTATATTAGTATGTACGAAGTTTAAAAACGTACCGTACCTACACTGTACTGTATTTTTAAGTTGTACGAATGTACGATATACGGTATATACAAAATACGAATAATGTCAAATCAGAAAGTGTGTGTAGTTTGTTCTGTCACTCGCATCTTTGGTATAAAAATACGAATCACTTGATACGAGTCTTTTTTATTTCGAATCGAATCTATACGAATTTCCAAATTAAATGGAATTGCCCACCTCTAAATTCAATAGCAAAGACGCCTTTATAACCCAGGATGCGCATTTTGAATTCTTACTCATGCCATTTGCGTTCACTAATGCGCCATCTGTATTTCAATATTTAATAGATAAGGCTTTGGGTAATCTTAAAAATTCGATTGCATCCCTATTTAAATGATATAATAATTCCAAGTAAAACAATAGATGAAGGGTTAGAACGACTAGAATTATTTTAATTGTTCACTACGTTTGTCAAAAACTACAAGAATAATCACACAAAACCTTGAATATTTTAGTAGAAAATTAAGAAGTATGTACCTACGAAAGATTATTAATGAACCCAACTGTAAACATTCTTCTAAAAATAACTAAAGTTTACAAAAAAAAAAAAAAAACAAATCAGAACAAAAAAAAAACAAATCAGAATAATTAATTCTGCATTTTTTGCAATAAAAAAAATCCTTTTAGAGCGAACGCGAAATGTAATACAATTTTTAGTGGTAAAGGTATGCCAAAATGTGATTGTGTTCCGCAAAGTAATTTATTTGCCTCTTACTTATTATTTGTTAATTATGTTTTGGATTTGATTGCATAAACACACTCATAATATCTACGGATATTACCTATGTACGGACTTTATAGATTTTAACGCCCAGTATTTTATTTACATGTCTTATTGTTGTAATATAAGGAATAACAAATTTAAATGTTATCGAATTACACATTAATTTTCAATAATTTCAAATGCTGGACATCTAGGTATCGAAAAGACTTTAAAACATATTCAAGAAAACTACTGGTTCGCATAAATGAGAAGGTTTGTCTCCAAATATGTCAAAGCATGCCTAAGTAGTGCATATTATAAAAACAGCGGATTATTAAAACGGGGCAAACTTCGCATCCTATAGAAAAAGTTTCAATCCCTTTTCATACTATTCAGATTGACCATTGGGTCCTTTTGAAATGAGCAAAAATAAGAACACATTTCTATTAGTAATAGTGGATGTATTCATTAAATTCTGTATTTTGGAAACTGTGCTTAATCAAAAAGCGAAACATGTTTTAAAAATTTGAATGAATATGATTAGTTTGTTTGACGTACTGAACAGAATAATCAGTGACGGAGGTACAGCCTTTACATCAAATTCGTTCAAAATGTTTAATAATACTTATGACATTAAACATATATTGAATGCAGTTGCTAACGGGCAATGTGAAAGGTATAACAAAACCATAGTTAATGCGTTAGCTACCACAGCAGCTTGGGAGGATTCTATTAGGTGGGATTGTTTTGAGAAACAAATACAATGTTCATTAAATACTAGTTTTAATAAATCAATCAATCTGACTCATATGTAAGTCTTAATTGGTTACAAGTCGAAGAATATGTCAGAAGCTTGGATTCTCAACGAAGTTCAGAATCAAATACAACGATTAGACCTTAAATTACTTCGTAGTAATATAGCTAAACACATCACGGAAGATCAGAAGAAACAGAAAGAATGGTATGATAAATCACGACGAGACGCTACAAAATACGTAGAAGGAGATTTGGTTATGATTAGAATGATTAGCAACTGGTTCTAGTAAAAAGTTCTTTCCCAAATATAAAGGACCATTTCGTGTCCTCAAAGTCCTCATTAATGATCGTTATGAGGTTGAAGACCTAAGAGAACTTACCAAACGTGGTAGACGTACAACTGTTGTTTCTCCAGACCACATGAAAAAGTGGGTTACATTCCAAGATGATAATAAGTCAGTTTTATAAGTATGTTTTTTATTTTGAGAGATCATTACGGATCTCACGAGATTAATTATTAGTTTTATTTTTGAGATCAAGGCGTATCTTATGAGATCAACGGATCTTTAGTTTTTAATTTTTGAGATCAAGGCGTATCTTATGAGATCAACGGATCTTTAGTTTTTCATTTTTGTGATCAAGACGTATCTTATGAGATCAACGGATCTTTAGTTTTTCATTTTTGAGATCAAGACGTATCTTATGAGATCAACGTATCTTATGAGATCAACGTATCTTATGAGATCAACGGATCTTTAGTTTTGAGATCAAGACGTATCTTATGAGATCAGCGGATCTTTAGTTTTTCATTTTTGAGATCAAGACGTATCTTATGAGATCAACGGATCTTTAGTTTTTCATTTTTAGATCAAGACGGATTTTACGAGATCAACGGATCTTTAGTTTTAGTTTTGAGATCAACACGGATCTCACGAGATCAAGACGTATCTTACGAGATCAACGGATTTTTAGTTTTTCATTTTTGAGATCAACACGGATCTCACAAGATCAGTGTTTTTTATTTTCTTTTTCAGGATTCAACAAGGATCTTATGAGATCAACGAACCTCTAATTATTATTAATATTTATATTATGTTTTAGTGCTATGGATGTATGTTTTCTTTTGTATATGTAATATAGAACTATTTTGTCTGAGGACAGACAATTTTATCAGGATGGCCGAATGTAAAAGAAATTCCGCACGGCCATGGTTTCTAATTCCTAGAAAATCATTCGTTGTTATCGATCGATATTTCAACGGTGGTATGATCTCTTTTTAAGTTGTTTGAGACATTCAGTTGTATAACAGTAGTTATTTGGCAAATTAGATGTGTTAATAAAATTTCCATTTGGGATTTAAAAATCGGTTGTTTTAGGGAAATTATTGAAATGTTTCTGACACAAACTTTAATTGTTTTGTCATAGTGATACAGATATACAATGATGCAACAATAGTATTTGGTAAAGTAAGCTTACTATTAGCTATATATGTATATACAGTTTAAAAATAATTTTAATAATATTGAATTGTCGCTGGTGACTACTCCAAGATAAGAAACTGCCAAAGAAATTAATTGATTTGATTGATTTCTAACTTTTTCAAAGGAGATAACAATTTTAATTGAAGTTTATTACGTATCATTGGTCACCATTTTTTTGGATTCTTTTTGTAATAAATAAATGATAGGTATAAAGTGCTAGAAAATCCTTAATATAAATGTACTTTCAGATTGTGACAAGTAAAATTCCAATCACCTTAGTTTTTGATCTACAAAATAAATAATAATAATTATTTGCAATTATGGAAACTACGTGTGACTGTCACAACATTATTCGATAGTTCATCTGATAGAGACGCTGGCGGCCCAACAGATTCGATATCTGATCGATGCATTCAATTTTTCTTTATTCTTAAGTTTTTAATTTTTTTGGTTTTCTTTCACTTTAGGGATATGATAATGTATTTTTCATAATTTCGTAGGGGAATTGGGGATTATATATTTTCATATTTCCATAATTGCATTTTAGTTTATCGGATCTCAACAGATTTTCTCAATTCACTTTTCTATGTAATATTTGTAACATTGGTTGGCAATAAATTTAATCAAATAAAAAGACAGATGAAAACTTTATCGGGGAATAATTCGCGAAACTGTTTAATCCAACCATGTACAAACGCTATCCAAAATCTGCTATATAAGTAATTCCATTTTGTTTTCATAATATAATCAGAATTTGTAATTAAAAAAATAAATAGAAGAATATACCTTCTCGTCTTGTCAATGTGATATTTCTGTATGGAGAACTGATTAGATCAAATTGAGACAGAGTCATTCCAGGTACGAAGTTAACGCTAGCTCCGTTTTGCCATAAATAAATCAAGTCTTTGGAGGTGTAGGCGTCTGGAAAAAATGCAATTCGAATGTAAAATAATAAATAAAAAAAAAACTGTAATATTCGTCTATACATATATTGAGAATCAATAGCAGAAAACATATAATTTTTTGTTTCTGTATACTTACAACTTCCAAAAACTAAAGGACATGATTGCCGATCCATTGGAAAACTTTTTAACTCCATTGGGCATTTTGCTTTAATTGTTAACCTACAAAAATTGAAGAACTTACTAAAGCAATAAAAATTACTTTAAAAATTGTAGGAATATTAAAGAACTATTGAACTGTTAAAACATTTCGGTTTCTTTTTTAACATATTTTTAAAATAAATTCAGGAACGATACAAAAAAATGTATTTATCGCCATACATTATCGTCTCGATGATGGTGGGTGAGGTTTTCCGGGTTTTCCTCACCTGTAAGTCAAATGGCACCATCAATCATCCTTAAGTCGCTCCGGAGCGCCACGGCAAATAATAATAATAATAATAGCCGTCCCTTCCCCTACACAAGTCGTTAGGAAAAAAACGCAACCAGTAAAGATTACAAAGGATATAAAATGTTCATGTTCAATTTATTTGTGATCTCAGGCGTTGTGATCAGGTCACAAACCATTTGAGAAAACTTGGGTCGGTTAATTTAAAAGAAAGACAATATTGGAAACAATCAAATAAAAAGTGAGTTTATTTTTAAATTTGAAAAAATAATTGATAGCATAACTAAAAATATGGACATTTTAATTTTACACACAAACACACTAAACAATCAAAAACAATTTTCAAGTTTAAATCAATTTAAATATTTGAGAGAAATTGTGGGAATTGCCAAAGAATATTCAAGGAATTGGTGAGGAATTAAGAGGTAATTTTAAAGGAAGTGAGGGAATTGGATAGAAAAATAGTAAAAATATAGAGAGATAGTAAAAAGGTGTACCACTTTTTTCTGCGATTTACCCTCGATATTTTCTTTGAAAAATGAATTTAAAAAACTATAAAAGCAATGTAAAACCTATCTCTTAATGCGACTTAAATAATAATAATTCCTCTATCAATTTTATTTTTAATTTAATTTTACTTAAAATGGAAATATTTAAGAAACTGCTATAGAATTATTTTTATAGTGTATATATAAATTTTATGAACAGCATAATGTTAACTATCAAAGTTTTTAAAATTACCTCATAGAGTATAAAATATCGCCATCTTGACTTATTCGTAATAGTTTATTGGGAACGGTTATAGTGTGGACGTATGAATTTTTGCCATTGTAAAAATATGTGTCCGGTCTCCAAATTCGTTCCAGCATTTTTATGGATAATGACAATGATTTTATTGGTCCTAAAAACGATAGTCTTTGATCTCGCCAATACTGTCGGAAATAGCAATCCATTGAATATTCCTGGAAATAATATTTAAAAACTGAATAAACAAAAAAATATAAAAAAAATATCAAGCTGAAAATATTGAAAACATATTATTACCATATCTAACTCAGAAACTGGTCCCATACTTCTTATTAAAATATTTGTTTGAACAATTGTTGGAGAATCTGAAACAACCAAAATTCAATTTCAGTTATATCGCTAACGCTTGTGCTTGCCAAAAATGTTAAAATTCGTGTATTTTGTTAGTTGGAAATTAAATTAATACAAAGAAGTTCAGCCGTATAAATCGCATCATATTCTATACAATGGTCATTGGTCAAATACATTTTTTTAAACCCTTAAATAAATAAATGTAGATGAGAAACTGTAATTTTTATAGCATATGCTTTATTTTGTCGAAAAACTAATAAACCAAAGGATAGGCGAGTTGAGAGGAAGATTTTTTAAATCCCGTAGACGTATCAAAAAGTTATTTTATATGGCAAGTATTTTATTTTGATTATTTAAGCAATTTTACTCAAGCAATATTTACATACACGTGAAAAGTTACTGAATTGGCTTTTAGGTATTTTCTACCCCAACCGATACACATAAGAGTAGTTTTTCAACATATCACAACAGATTACACGAAAAATAATCTAGCACAAAATCACCACAATAATACACAACAAAATTAAAACAATGCAATCACCCACCGCATTTTAAAAGACGTCATTTTTTGGTCATGTATCCACCGTCTTGTTCAAGTTTTATTTTATTTTTATCTAGTGGTACTATGACCCAATTGGACAGCACAAATTATTCTGGTACTTAATTTTAAAAACGCCAATGTTACGATAGTTCAAGCAACAAATGCTCAAAAAAAGGTATAAAGGGAAATGCACGGAACACAATTTTTGACTTCGTAACTTTGTTTAGACTAAACAAATAATGATTGAGAGTAAACCGCGTTGTTATATCTCAATTTTACGTTACCAGTTTCTAGCAGAATCAAAATATAGTAATCAAATTATAGATAATATACAATCCCAATACGATTAAAAGATATTATTTATGACAAAAATCAGTAATGATTAATACTTATACATTTCCTAATCATTTAAAATTAATTATTTTATTTATTGTTCAGTCTTTATTACAACTAATGGCAAAGCTGTATGGAACGATATTTGGTCTTTGTCATTTTCGCATAAAATCCATCTCATCGATGCAGTGCTCAGTAATGTACTTGCAACCACGAGCGTATCATCGGGTTTTGAATTATACAGCGTGAATTGTAAGTTTTACAGTTAAGTTAATAAGTGATCGACATGTTGTGATAACAATTGGTGAAAATAATAGTGTTTAAATATTAAATATTAAATAATTATATTTCTACACCGTTCTAAAACTACTCAAAAAATGAAAGACATTGCAATGCCTTCAATGTCGAAAAAGGTGAAACGGTCGAAGTCTCGGACGCTAAGTGAAAAACAAATTGTACTTCGAGTCTTCACTGTCTTGAAAGAGATATCAGTGATCAAAAGATTACTTAGTGCATATGTGCTGTAATTCTACGGGTGTACCTCCGAATAACCAACCGGGCGTTCCAACATCATTACCTTCCACAATTGCAAAAGATAAATTAGTTGATATGTGCTCTGATTATACGGGTGTACCTAAATCATCAATTTACAAAATACTAAGAGAAAACAAAATTCATGGAGAAGTACAAACGTTGAAAACTAGTAGCGGACCAAAAAAATCACAGTTGATGAAGCAGCCAAAAACAGTATACGTAGAACTATTGACAGTTTCTTTTTTAGAAATGAGCTGCCCACTTTGCAAAAAGTTCTAGAAGCAATTAGCGAGTAAAGAAACTTTGAGGAAAATTTTACACGAAATGAAATGAAAAAGTCGACAGGAAAAGCATTCTTATTGAACGTCAAGAAATAATAGTATGGAGAAGAAATTATCTCAGAAAAATTGGCGAATTTCGGAAGCTCAAAAAAATTTACTACATGGATGAGACGTGGATTAACCAAGGACATACGGTCAAAAAGTATGGCAGAATGGTCATATAACAAGTGCACGGCAAGCCTTTATTGAAGGCTTTTCAACTGGGTTAAAACAGTCGTCTGGAAAAGGTAGTCGTCTGATAGTTACGCATATAGGAAGCGGCAGTAGATTTTTGATGTTTGAAAAATGGTTTAAAGGAATCATTCAACTTGTGGAACCTGGGTCTATCGTCGTCATGGACAATGCCCCATATTATAGTAGGCATATAAAATCATTACCGAAACAATCATAGAAAAAAGCAACAATTCAAGAATGGTTAATTAATAATAACATCCAAAATAGAAAAGATAGTTTAAAGGCAGAACTACTTTAAACAAAATTACACACAGACAAATATAAATAATTCGCAGTGGATGAAATGGCGTTAAGTCGTGAAATTGCAGTTTTAAGTTTACCACCGTACCACTGTAAATTAAACCCAATAGGATTGATCTGATCGTAAGTAAAAGGATATGTGGCACGAGAAAACAGAACATTTAAATTGGTGGACGTGCAACAATTTCTACAAGAAACAATTCAAAATGTTTCTGCAGAAGAATGAAAGAAATGCATTCAATATGTTTTAAAAGAAGAGCAAAAAATGTGGGACGTAGACAACCGTATTGAACACAATATTGAACCAATCATAATTAACTTTGATGATCGCGGTAGCAGCAGTGACAAATCTGAGGTTGAAGATTAGACGAAAATTTGCACACAAAAAAAAGTCTTTATATTTAGGTATCTTTCTTATTTTTAATTTTAAATATATATTGTGATTTTTATTAATATCGTTAATTTATTTGGTACCTACTATAATTACCACAATTATTACTCCGTTTTTATAAAGCCCAACTAATTACTACAACGATTAGGTAAATTACGATATTGCAAAGTTTTAATGAAGTAAATAAAAAATTGTACCAAGCATTTTTGGTTCATTTTTAACCCTCTAAAAAATTAATAAGAACGCCTCCGATTTGCCATCACCTGGGCTTATTTCTACTCTCAATCTTTATTTGTTTCACTTTAAAAGAACATATCAAAAATCCCCGCCCGTAGCCCTTGATCCGGGGAAGAAAGGGGGTCTGACGGTCCAATTTTTCTGTTTTTCGCTTATATATCGGAAACTATGCGTCCTATCGACATAACCTTTCAATATAACATGAAAGCTTATTAAATTTGCTACAAGTTCTTCTGAGTCAAGCTTTTTGATATCTTGTATAGTTTTCGATCAGATGTTGAAAGTCTGCAATTTTGAAAAAACATTTTTTCCTTACATATTTTGCTCTTTTTGACCGAAGAACTCTTCAGCCATGCACCCAAAAAATAAATACCGACCATAGGGTTGTAGAGAGTTGAATTCCTTCAATAATATATATTTTCTAGTTTATCTATTTTCCTTCAAATATTAAAGCAACTGTCGACAATGAATCTTTCAATTTCTCACTATTCTTATTTAACGTATTATTGTGAATACTGGACGTCTAAATAGCATATAGATAATCATTTTAGAATATATAGTTGTGAGTCCCTTTGACCAGGTTCTTCACACTTAATTAAAGAATATCTAGACTATTTTAATGGAAAAATATGTTGCTATGGCCATGTTTTTGCATGTATGAGTATCTTTAAGATAGTGGGATGGTTTTTTAAATCACAACCATTAACTTAAAACAACGTTTATTAACACAGAAAAGTGAATTAACATAAAACATTACAACAGTATGTAACATTAAGTCAATTTCTTGCTCTCTTGGGGTGGGAAGGACCTTTATCCTCGTTATGATCATTAGGACGCATAGTTTCCGAGATATAAGTGTAAAACCGAAAAATGGGACCTGCAGACCCCCTCTCCCTCCCCGGTTCAAAGGCTACGGGCGGGACTTTTAATATGTTTACCTCGTAACTGTTCCAAACAAAGTTACAATGTCAAAAATTGTATTTCAAACATTTCCCTCTATACCTTTTCGTTGCCTGGACTACGAGAGAAAAGAAACTATTATGATAGTCAAATTGCTCAGTCTAATAATAAAACAAAAACTACATGAAATATAATTCATTAAAAGAAAGAAATCAATAAATCAAAAAATGTAATATTTAATGGTATTAAATCAACTAATATGGCAACTTTATCTCCATCTGAAGCTTTAAATATATTTTATGATTTATTTGCAACAGCAAATAGTAATCTTATAGGTAAAAATTCAGTAAATACAAATCTATGAACATTATACCAACATCCGTTTACTTATCCGAAGTAAATAAAACAGAAATGGTATGAGTAACAATGTTAAAAAGAATAGTTTTTCGTTTTTAAACCATTAACGTATACTGTAAATGATTCATTAATTAACGGAGACTTCCCATCGAGATTGAAAGTGGAAGTAGTAAAGCCTCTTTTTAAAAAAGGTGATCCATTATCCATAGAAGATTATAGACCAATTATTCTTCTTTCAAGTTTTTCAAAAATTTTTGAAATAGCTATATCTAAAAGATTAATCTAATTTTGAATTCGAACATCATTGTAAAAATCGAATTCTACTACTACTACCTTCGGTTTTGTAAATAAAATTCTCGGTTCTCTAGTTAAAGGTTAACTTGACTAGGAGTGTTCTTGAATCTCTCGAAAGCATTTGACTGTGTGCACCACCGAACATTACTTAATAAAATAGAAAAATGGACATCTGGGGATTAGCTTACAACTGGTTCAATACTTATTTGAGTAATCGTTTTCAACAGGTAAATTTTACTGCAAATTTTACAAATCATGTTTCGGATTTAAAAGCAATTACAATAGGACTTCCGCAAGGCAGTGTACTTGGACCAATTTTGTTTTTATTGTACGTTAACGATTTGACCAGTTTTGTAAATGACCCTAATATAATATTAACAAACTATGTAGATGATATCTATTGACTAGTAGTTGATAAAGATTATAATTTTATTAAAACTAAAACTATTAATGTAAAGTCGCACAGATTATAATTTAATTACAGATAAAACTGTTTTTAGCATTTCTGTAATTTACTAATGAACCTAGATAAAACCCAATGTGTTCTGTTTTTTTTTCTGCTGGGCTTGTCTGACTATGTCTCCGAATAACACTGAAGCCTATTGGCTTATT